CAATGCGCTAACATTTCCCATAAATTTTACATATAAAATGCCAGCAATCTTCATTTCATAGCTATCGCTGACGCCGTTTTTTTTTTTTTTTTTTTTTATTTATAAATAAAAACTAGACGTTGATGTTGCCTATCATAATCTCACCTATAGTCCTGTACTTTTTTAGTAAATGCAACGAACGGTGCCGAACACAGAGTGCGATTTTTCGGAGCAATTAACCTATAAAACTACATTTTTAATTTATAGGTTAATTGCTCCGAAAAATCGCTGCTACTTGTCACAGTGCTTTTATTGGAGCAGTCGCAGAGCGTAGCAGCTCCACAAAAATCGCAGTCTAAGGGACCACCTCTAGTTAGAAGCACAAAACACATACACAAGAAGAAGTGCGAGCGCCTTGCTAAATATTGGAAAGTGAAATTGACGTTTAAATTTGACACTGTTGACAAGTCTACTGCCACTAGCGCCACCAATATCGCTTGTAGGAACTACGGACGGGCGGGAAGTTCAAAAAAATAAACATTTAATTTTTCATGTATTTTTAATTATGACATCCACATAAAAACACAAAAATACACCATTTTTAAAAATATGTTTTAATATCAATATCAAATATTCAAATATACAACAGAAATTAATTTCGCAATAAATTAATAAAAATTAAGCGAATAATGTTACAAGTAGATCAAGAACAAAATTAATTATAACAAAACTGAAAAAAATGGCGTCATAGATGGCTTAGAAATCAAAGATATATATCATAATTTTGAAAGTAAAATTATATGGGGAAATGTCATCGATCATCATTTTTTAAACCAACTGGCCGATTATTTCAAACATACAAGCTGCATTCATTCATAGTGCTCTGAGAAATCTAGATAGACAAAGAATAATAAATTAAAAAGTATTCCAGAGGGAAAAGGAAAATTTTTTATTTTTTTATATATCATGATATATATCAGGGTATTGTTGAAAGTGTCATCTTTTTGCTCGAAGTTTTCAGGTGACATTTACAATAATACTTTGCCCGTAACTTTCATCATAATATCAGATGAGTATTCATACAGGTTTTGCCTCTCTTTTCCTCTGGGTTGCTTTATACCTGTTGTTTTCATTTGTTTCTATATTTCTCAGAGCATACTGCCGAACACGACTACAGTATATAATAATTTCAATATCCTAAGTGGAAAGAAAAAAGATCACCTTTCTATTTTGTACTATGGTTCCTTTCTTCCGATGGCTCATTTCGTTGATATTTAGGAAGGTATCCATAAAATATATATTTTACTATCGGTCCTGGGATGAAAAAATATAAAATTCAATTTGATTTGATGATCATTTTCTGTCACCTAAATCAGGAGAATGACAATGAGCATGTTAAGATGAAAAAAAATATATTTACCAAGACTTACCTACACGTTAGTCCGAGGAATTTTATCAAAAACCTATATTTGCCTGAATAATTTATGTATTAAATTTGCAAAGCAAACTGCAGCGTGTAAACAAAAGAAATAAAATGGCGACAAGTCAACGTCAACGACCCGACAAGAAGAAAAGTGGTGTTCGAATAACAAATTATGGGTCACCAAAAATTGTTTTTGTCTCCTTTCAACGCACACTTTAGAAAGAAAAAGAGATGAACTGTAATACTGAACGAACGTCAAGGTTTTATCTGTCACTCTTGTCAATAATTTATCGGTAAGGAAGATTCCTAGAAAATCGCTTGTAGTCAAGTTTTCAACCATTGCCAGTTCTCCCATAAGAAGTGTCATCCACCTGGTTAGAAGTATCAACGTTGCCAAATTCGGTAAAGGTGTGGATCCGGTGGCTGACCTTGAAGCCCATATTTGCTGCATTTGATCATCGATACTACGCAAGCGCACATCGTGGATGTTGCCAAATTGCAGTTATTTTTAGTTAAAAACAAATGTTTACAAAATCTATAATTAATTTTATAATTTCAAATTTATCTCGATATCAAAAATTAAGGTAAGAAGGATAATGAAGATTGTGAAATGAAAGTATTATGAATATATAAAATTGTAATAATAATAACATTTATTTATATATTTACATTAGAATTTAGAATTAAAAATTATCATTTACGGATTTTTTCTTAATGGTTTTAAACTTATTAGAATTATTTTATTTCTTTCAAGTTATTTAATTTCTAGTTATTTACAGGCAACAATAGTTTTAATTATATGTATTGATCTTAGTATTGAAGTGCTACCATGACGAGTCTTATAGAACAATACACGTCAATGGGAGATAGAGGTAACATTTTACCTATAATGTTACTAATATAATATACTTTGATTATAATGTTTGTATCATAATTTCTTAAAAATATCAAGTTAGTGGATTAATAGCAATTTTAGACATATATTTTATTGAAGAGTGTGTTGATAAGACTAAAATAAGCTTTATGTTTTATCTTTTTCTCTTTAGAAGGGAGATGGTTTGTGTCGTAGAATACATTACAGTATTTAATATCGTGTACTTTGATGTTCTTTTCTTAATTTACTGTAATTTCTTGTTTCCTATAATGCGAAATCTTGACAATATGGTGAAGGTTGAATTTTGATCTGATATTAGTTTTATACCTGGGTTTATACAAGACCAAATTAAGACTATGTGATTAATATTAAGATCTTTCTTATAATATTTGTTATGTCTTAATCTTAATACTATATTATGCTTTGTCTGGAAAATAAATGTTAAAATATCTTAATTTTGCATATCCTATTCCATCCTTCCATTAGGAAAAATATAGTTTATAAATCATATATGCTAAGAAAATCACATAAATTAGTTGTAAGAATAGAAAAATCTTAAGGTAGCAGAAAAATTAATGCAATATATGTATAAGCAGAATTAAACAAGGTAAAACTGTTAATGTTGCTGAAGCTGATTCTACAATTTTAATTACGGAGGCTAAAAGGCCTTTTAAGGCCTCCGTAGTTTTGATGGAATGTTAAAAAAAATCTATTATGAACATGACATGGAGCTACAGCATTTAAAAATTTTAAAAAAAGAAAAAACTTGGACATATCCCTTTTAATTTCCTGAATTTCTAATAAAGCACTTTTTAAATGTAGCATAATAATCTAGAGCAATTAGATTAATTATAAGAATCTAGAGTTTTATTTATATTTCATTTTATTGACAATGAAAATACATAATAAGCGTTCACGTGTTGTGCGAAATATTAAAATAATAATATAAATACTATACCGCGTACTATGATTGAAAAAAAAATAGCGTCAGCGATGACTATGAAATGAAGATAGCTGTCATTTTATATGGGAAATGTCCTCAATCATCATTTCCCAGCCAACTGGATGCCGTTATTTCGATCATACGGTATATATTGACAAAAAAACACTGAAAAGCACATATTTGTTTTCTACTGAAAATAATTTCAAAATAACTAGCAATCTGGCAACATCGAAGATGTGCGCATGCGTAGTGTCTGTGACTATATGTAGCAAAAACTCGTTTCAAGGTCAGCCACCGGATCCACACCATTACCTAGTCTTCTTATTCAAAGGGTGGTATGGTCAAGTGGTTGGAATTTGCTCTCGGGTGTTAGTTATTTGTCCTTGTTACCAGGGTTCGGAAAACTACATGTTACTTTTAAAAACTACATAAACTACATTACATGTAGTTAATGTAGTTTATGTAGAGGGTGTAGTTTATGTAACATATGTATGTAACTTTCAAATATCAAAGGTTTGAGGTGAGGTTATAATAAGTTGAATCTTTAAAAACACATAATGTATTTAAGAAACCAGAAGAAATATGGCTTTAAATATAATATTTACATCATGTTACCTCTATTACACCTCATACAAAGGAAAATTATTCATAATATCAATACATAGTTTATTAACGTAGTTTTCATGTAGTTAATGAACAGGAAAAGAAGTAGTTTTTGAAGAAAAACTACACGTAGTTAATCAGGTAAATTACGTCTTAATTAACTACTTCCGAACCCTGCTTGTTACATAGATAAACGAAACAAGTTTAGATTGGAAAGTGCCCATAAGGACAATGTAAACTCTATTTGGCGCTATTCTTGCAACGGTCGCGACCCAAAGCTTTTGAAAATTTCGGAGCGGTTCGGCTTTTTCCGGAATTATATCGCCAAATATTATTTATTCAAATTTATTATTATTTTCTTTTAATTTTATAAATAAAATACAGTGTGTTGCATACAAGAAACTTTATTTTATATAAGGACATTAGGACATGTATGAAATACCTATGAAACATTAGAAACCGACGTTATGCGACGATGCACGATGGTTTTTGCAGTTCACAACACAGCTTTTTAAGTTTTTAATGCCACTTTTTCACAATTATCACGGGTTGGAGTAAATAAAACTTAAATTAAACTTACAAGATAGCAATAATTACTTGGAAAATGGACGCTATAAACACTTTTTGGAATTTTTTCAATGAGGGCTTTTTCATAAGGTTTAGATTTTGAAAGATTTTGGAAGATTCTGACTTTGACGAGAGAAAATTATTTCTGTTTGTGTTTGCGGTTGTTCCTAGCAACCGTTATAGCAGCGCTAGATCGCGTACAACGGTCGCGACCCAATATAATTTCGCGACCCAAAATTTTGACGGGCTTTCCAATCTAAACTTGTTTCATTTATCTATGCCTTGTTAGTCCTTGTCTGCGGTCCTTGTATTCTAGTCATTGTGCGCGTTCAGGGACGGTCAGCGGCTGAGTGGCTGAGTAAGCGATTTCTCTAAACGGTCTCTTTTTACATGCAAAAACAGTCAGCCGCTGAACAAAATTCTCAGCGGTCAGTCAGCCGCTGTGTTCCCTGAAGGCGCACATTGATTTATTGCTGAACCTCCGAGAATCTGAAACTCCGTCGCGTCGTTGTCGTTCATGCTCATTCTGCTCATTCTTCCTACCCCTATATCTCAGATTTTCCCTAAATCTAGGAACAATTTAAAATTCCCTAGACCTTGCAATGGACTGTCACCAGTGTCACACCTGTCACTGTTCACTGTCGTCCATGTGTCGTCTGCTGTCATTCTGTCATCTGTCATCTCTCATTTCGGTTTGGTTTTGTGAGATAGAAGTTCTCGATCACTGCTATATTGCTCCTATTTTAAGTTTTCGATACCTTTAGTTTTTCCAATTAATTACTCGAAAAAAATCCCAAAGCATGGCGGATCTCGACGATTTTTTCGCAAAAAAAGATCGCAAGAAGGGCAAGAGTTCGAAAAAGTTCGCCACCACGGAAGAGGTAGCCAAGAAACTGGAGGACACTGTCAAAAAAACCGAAAAGCAAAAAAAGGAACGTGTCCAGGAAGGTGATGAGAACTCTTCTCAGGCCATCGTAAGCATTTTATTCTTTCCAATCTATGTATTTATTGTATTCAACTTTTTTAATGTGAGGTTAGAGAAAGCCATATTGTTCAGTCAGATTGACAATGGCGATATATTTTAAATGAATTTAGCATATTTTAATTTACCTCTAGGATCAGGATGAGTGGAAGGAATTCGAGGAAGAGAAGAAAGACTATACTGGACTGAAAATCGGAAACCTAACCATCAACGCCGACCAAGAGAACAACTTGAACAATCAGGATGCTGGATCGGGAGACCAACAGGATGGGGCTGATTCCAACCAGGATTGCGAAAAGAAACCGGGTCCTTGGAAGAGGTAATAACACAACTGAAATATAGATAATAACAGTACATCCAAAAAAATAATTTTGTTCTAGAATTGATGTTCAGACTGATGCTGTGATTGAGGAACCACCAAAGCCAGTAGAAAAGAAGCCCGAGACACCTTCAACTAATTTGCAAGCTTATAAGCCGCCCTCTCTGCGTTATTCAACCTCTCAGCCATCAACTAATTATCCAAGAACAAAGGCAAGCAGATTTGGTAGCACAGCTCCTGATATCCATAACGAGGAATATTTTCCTACTTTGAGCAAGAGTAATGAGTCGAAAAAGTAAGTGTCTATAAGTATTTATAGTTACTAATTGTCCGACAAATATTAAAGAACAAAAGGGTTACGAATATTAAGACAGTACAACAATATATATATAAGTATTTATAGTTACTAATTGTCCGACAAATATTAAAGAACAAAAAGGGTTACTTAATATTAAGACAGTATAACAATATATATATATATATATATATATATATATATATATATATATATATATATATATATATATATATATATATATATATATATATATATATATATATATATATATATATATATATATATATATATATATATATATATATATATATATATATATATATATATATATATATATATATATATATATATATATATATATATATATATATATATATATATATATATATATATATATATCGAACATTGCGACAATTGAACAGTATTACTCTCTACATTTCTTTGCAGGAATAAGAGTGAAGGTTCATTTGAAGTAGTCCAATCAAACAGGGCTTCCTCTCAGCGCCAACAACTAGAACAATCGAAGACGGCCGGTGGCCCTAAATTAAGTTTAGGCAACCGTTACACCACGTTGAGCAATGATAGCTAGTGTCTATCCCACTAGCACCTACTGAGAGACACTGAAGTGTTTATATGTATGTATGATTTATACATATATATTTCAAAAGTGCTAAGTTCATTTCCGCCTCCTTTTTCAGTGGGCCTACTATGCGCGAGTGTTCTGGAGTTACAGGAAAAAACTTTTCCATACAACTTCAGATTTCTTACACACACTGTTTATAATACCAGAATTAAAAAAAAAACAGCTTTCACTAGGCAATTTTTCATAAACAAATTGTACATTATATATAGGGTGTCATAAAAAATGCCAAAATATTTTTTACACTTCTTTTTTCAATAAAAGATGAACGTTATCTCAACATGATATGTATCAGTTAAGGGAAAAATTGTTTTGGTGAAACCTATAATAATATAGGTTCAGTGTGGAAGATGTAGAATAAAATGAAGCCATCATCGAAAAACTTGATGATTAAATTTTAATAAACAATTTTTTTATGAGCCTTTTTTTCTTTTGGCGTGTCTGTCAGGAATTTAAAACCCATCGTGTCTATAGATATTTTATAATTAAATAAAAAAGTTACTATTCCAAACAACATTTTTATGGATAAAAATATTTCTTAATTTCATTTTACAACGTTTGCTAAATATTCTTGATGGTATTTAAAATATTTTCATCTTCAAAATGTCTTTTTTATTCCACTTATTTTATGTGCATCCAGAAAAAAAATTAATATTAAAAAAAATGACTTTTGTAGGTGTATGTTATTTTTTCTAATTATTAAATTATATTCCAATAAAGTCTATATATTATTTATTTGTGAATTCCTGCTACTTGATTTTCTTCTTCTAGAGCTTCGAACACTTTCCTCAGATTTTCCCAGTAATTTTCCACCTAAAACTTCTTCAATAGCCTTATTTATATGTTGGTGATCCTTCTGGTTGTTTCCTTCAGTTCCAATACGTTTAAGACTAATATCCACACTCATCTGTGCCATCAGCACCTTAAGTATTGATTGCAAGCCATCTTTGGAGATGTGGTTATCTTAAAAAGGCAAAATAACAAAATTTTCTTACAGTTTAGTTATCTTTTTTTAATTACATGCCAAATTAAGGTTTTTCAAAACGTTGTTCCCTTTACACAATAATTCTCCATTTTCCACTGTTACATCGCATACAAAAGGATGCTTTTCAATTTGTTCTTCAATGTCTTTATGACAACTACCATAGTTCTAAAGAAGTAATAAAGTTTGGCAAATGACAGCCCTTTCATTTCTTAATACCTGTATTTTTTTATAATACTCAAACCTGATTCTTCTTCTCTGTAATATTTCTTTTTCTTTTAGTTGAAATGGATGAAAACAATTCAATATTTCCTCAATTCCCTCATCAGAGATTTTACAATCTGACAGATTTAAAGATAAAAGGCATCTATCGCATCTTAAAATATCAGCTATATATTCACAACCTTCATTAAAGACCATATTACTTGATAAGTCTAAATGTATCAGACTCACTCCAGGAGATACATTTAAGAATTCATTCGATAACCTTCTTAAACCTAAGAAAAAGTTAATATGACTTGTAATAACTTAATAAGATAGTACAATAGACTACTAATAGTACTCACCATTTTTGTTTATTTCACAAAATTTTAAGCTCAAAGATTTAAGTCCCATATTAACAAATAATTCAAAATTTTGTTCTTCGTTTGGATTTCCTTTCAAACTTAAGTCAGTTATGGTTTTTAAATCTTTTATGCCATTTTTTAGTATTAACAAATGTTTAGAAGTGAGATTACAATAATTTAAACTAAAACATGTAAAATAGTAGAAGTTCTATATCTTAATGTCACCTTACTCTAGAGAGGATAAACTCAGACAACTAGAAATGGCTTTATTTAATGCTAAAAGCGCATTAGAAGTAATTTTTGGTAACCGACAAGCTAATTTTCTTACAGAACATCTGTCAGGCTCATAATATACTTCACAAAAAGTTCTGATATCAATGTATTCAATTAAGTTCTAAAAACGTAGAATTTAGCTCTATCTAGAAAAATAATATATTTCTGTACCTCCTGAAAATCAAGCAAAGCTATCTGATCATAGGCGTGTATAACATATTCTTTAATTATTGGGAATTCTGCAACAGAAAACTCTTCGTAACATTTTGCAAGTACAGTAGGAAAATGTTTTGTATCTTCCTCGTATTCGCTCTAAAAACGTTTCCTGTTAAGCATGAAAAAAGTGAAAAAGGCATATTTTTTACTTCTCGAGTGGGCTTCAAAGAACCCCCTTGCCTTTTTAATCTTCTAGATGATCGTAATAAAGATGCGTTATCTTTTAGCGACATTTTAAATTTTTTTGGCAGCAGCTCTTCTTACAAAAAAAGTTATTTTTTTAAAAGTTATCGTCTTCTTCTCGCTGCCGGGGCTAATCTGAACTGTCTGAACGCAGCCTAATTTGTTTACGCGGAAACCGAACCACGGTTCTGGGCCATATCATGGTCAATGGCACGTCAATGGCCTACTAAAGCTTGTTTCATATAGACGCGAATCGCGAATTGCGATTTTGCGAAACTGCTCTCATTGGTCCAATTTTACTGATCATGGCGGCGCTGTCAGAAATGTTAAGATTTTGGCGATTCGCAAGATTTAAAATTTGGGGGGCGGGAAAGTTAAAGTGTTTTCAACTTTTTGCGAATATTCGCGCGATTTTAAGGTACGCGTTTGCGCAGAATGGTGTTGTGATGCGGTTATCGATTATTTTGACGACGCTACCGCAAAGTAACTGAAAGCATTTCTCCAGTTGAAATGGGTTCTCGTACATAATATGTTTTTGATATATATGGCGACAATTTTTCAACTTCAACCAAGTTATCAAACTCCTATACAGACAATCTGAAAATTCCGAAATTTTTTCTCATTTTTCTTCCTTATTTTTTGAATTAAACTGCGACAAGCACCTTGTTGCTTACGAAATTTGAATATTTCACATGTCCCAAATGGCCCATAAATGACCTATAAACCTGTGCTATAAACCCATTCTCTTCTACGTTTTAACAATAAGTAAATGGCAATTTTACACCTTATTCTATTCCAATCCCACAATCGTAATCGATATTCATAATTATTAAACAAATTTAAACTCATATTGTATGCTATAAAATATAAAATAAAGATCGTAAACACGTATAAAACAAATTAAGTTATCTCAGGTTATGATTTTTTTTTGGTAACTTTCAGTGGAGCAAAAATGAAATGTCCCTAAAAATTCGCGACTGTATGAAATAGGTCCAAATTTTGCGAATATTTTTTGGCGAATCGCTTTTCGCAATTCGCGATTCGCGTCTATATGAAACAAGCTTAAGGCTGGTATTTATAGTTGCATCTCGCATAAAATAATTAACTAGAAAGAAGTGTCAACTCTGTGTTAAAACGTGGAAACACGATACGCCACCGAAAGCCTTCGTTGTCGTCTGGAGAACTAATTTTCCAATTGACAGGTTGACATGATAAGGACATGATGGCTTAATTTTCATTTCCGTTTCCGGTTATTCAATGGCGGGCCCTCTTTCAGTTCAAATGTATTTTGTAATTTTTCTTTTCATAAATAAAACCAAAAAATAATTTATTCACATATATTTATTTGAAATATGGAACAACGTGACTAAATAAATATAAAAATATAGAGGATTGTATTGTTTCAATACCAATTAGTTAATTACATGTACTTTTAACGTAAATTAGTTAAGGTATAAGCATGACTTACATTAATTTGTAAATAAACACACGTATTCGCAGACTTCAAGGACAGAAAACGGACACAGGAACATGAAAACGGGAGCCTTATACAAAAACCTGAAAACAGAAAAACAATTTTTTTATACTAAAATTAACAATGTAAAAATATCAATAGGTATAAAATATAAATATACTGTTTAAAAAAGCGTCCATTATTCCCAAAGAGACCTGGCTTATAAATCAAAAAGAAGCAAAAAGAGACTTTTAGTCGGATAACATAATCAGATTATCAGTCCGATTTATTGCATTATTGACAATAAGTCGCACATACTGGAGATAACTAATGTTGGCTATAGTTAAAAATGATCTTACCTTGGTGTAAAATGTTTCCATTTTCAAAAAAATCGCCGATCAAAGAGATTATAACACCATTTTCTTGCATCTAAAAAATGTAAAAACAGTGTTTATTTACTACCTATTTTTCATATACATGGGACATACCTGCTACTGCAGAAACGTCATTTTCTCCAGGATTCTTCATGTAATATATATTTTATATACTTTATTACCTTTATATTTATAAATTTCAGCCGAAATATTAAATTGAACTTCCAAAACGAAACTAAACGGAATGAATTAAAATGGCGTCGAATATTTTCGAATTTGTTCTAGAACAAATCTGAAGTTGTCTCTGAAACTGAAATCTGTCAATTCTAAACTGTGAAGTTAGACAATAGTTAGACAAAAACAATGCTGTCCTTGTCTAGGCGGCCATACTTGTCGGGAGGAGAATGACAAGAATGACACTAATGACTGTTTCCAATTTTCCTATTTCACTGTCACCCCCCTGGCATCTCGAGACGCCAAGACGGTCTTGGGCTCTCGAGAGCGGAATCCACAGAATACACGAGCAAACGTCATTTTGGAGATTGCGATTTTCATTTTGGAGATTGTCATTTTGGATAGTTTATGTGATCTGTGGATAGTTTCTTAACCTAACTTTTTTAGTAAACAAAATAAATCCCTTGTAAATCCGTTTTGTCTGATTAAACAGTTTTGAATTTTGAATATGTTAGAAGAGTTTGAGGATATTTTGGACCATGTGGAAGAAGAAAATCGTCTTCGAGTTCCAAAAAGGTATATACGGGATGCAGGAAATCCAATAGAAATGTTTAGCGAGGGGGATTTATGCCAATATAGGTTTAACAAGGCTACAATTACAGAAACTATTTTACCTCTTATAAATTGAAGACTTGCAAAACCTACCAATCGTGGTTTACCCATTCTCCCCGTTGTTCAATTACTAATTTGTTTACAGTTTTATACGACTTGTAATTTTCAGATGGTAAATGGAGACTTGCGTGGTGTTAGCCAACCTACAATAAGCCAGATAATCAAGAATAATGCAATAATGTGGAAGTATTTCAAAATCGCAAAAATTTTTTTTAGTCTAAATGTTCAGGTCCCAAAAGGGAAATTATGGATATTATAGTTGGATATCCAGGGTCAAGTCATGATAGTGTTATATTCAATCGAAGTAATTTAAGAATGCTAATGGAAAGGCGTGATATTCGTGATTTACTTCTTGGAGACAATGCATATATGTAGGCCAATTCTATTGACTTCTGTTCTACAGCTAGGTAATCAACAAGAAACCAGGTATAACTTTGCCCATAGAAGAAAGCGAAATGTTGAAAGGCTATTTGGGACTTGGTAAAAACGTCTTCCATTTCTCCGAGGTTTACAAAACAACTGTTGCTATTATTTGTGCAACAGCTGTTCTTCATAATATTGGTTTAAGGGAAAATTTAGATAATTTTGAAGATGCTAATTTACACATTCCAATTATAAATAAAAAGGAAGAGGGTTAGATTTTTGAAGAAATCTTATTCAACATTTTGCAAATTAATGTATTTATTGTATTAATATATGTATATCTAGTAATTATGTAATATGTTAAGTAATGTTCCAAGGTAACTAGTACCTATATAATAATTTTATTTACTTTTCTATTAGTGTTAAGTTAGTGTTTATATATTTACATGTAACATATTTTAAGTAATTTCTTATAGTCTATTATTAGTTATCATAAAAATACTGTTTTTCTATACTTAAATAACATATGATTTCTTAGTAGTTTTACGCTCACTATGACCAGACAGTTAAGTGCTTGTTTTAACTGGTCACACAGAATTTTCCCACTAATACATTAAAACTAAAAAAATTGTCTTTTTATTTTCTTCATCATGAATATTTATATAAATATCATATCACATAATATACAATATTGGATGTATACCGTATACCTATAATTTTCAAGATTTTATTCCTTGGTGTAAATTCTGTATTCTTATTGAGTTGACCACTCTATATAAAGTTGATACTCCATGTTTTATAGTTTTATTTAGAATAATATTTCACAATACACATTCTATGATTATTGCGTTTTTACTGCTTCCTTATTTCTTCTCGTCTAGATGACATTCTTCTCTATTCTTTTTTTTCTAGTCTGCTACGTAAATCAGTGACTGACAATTTTTGCCTTTACTTATAAATTTAATTTATTCTCTGACACTCGTCCAACCTGACTATGTCTTAGTCTCCAAGACTTAATTAACAAAACTAACTTAAAAATTACCTACAACAATAAAAAAAATATTCATTCTAAATTTATGATATTTAAAGATTTTAAAAATTTATGAAACTATTCAAAACTAAATAAACCAAAAGTAGTATTCATTAAACATTAAACATATTCTTCTAAATACTTCTGTTTATGTGTTTTTCTGTGTCATGGGGTAGAACTTGTGTCACTGTAAATAGTCCCTTATATTTAGTAGCACTTTTCATATAGACCATGTCTCCTATCTTTGTGATACCTTTAAATCTATATGTTTATCATAATTTTTTTATACTTCCTTTGTTCCATTTCTATATGTTCTTTGACCTCTTTTCTCAATTTTTCAGGTAATTGAATACTTTTCATTCTCTACCGTCAATAATCTCACTTATCCATCTTCAATCTTCGGAATATATCCATATAATAATTCAGGAGTTTTTTTCGCCAGTGGATTTATTCACAGATGTATTTATAGCTCTTTCTATATTCTTAATATATGTATCCCATTTGTTGTTATCATCTGCACAAGCTGAAGGCAGTATCATTGGAATAATAATGCTGTTCAACCATTTATGGTTGCATCATACAAATTCACCCAAATGTTCTGCTATTAAAATGGACACCCTCTTGATAATCTGGCTTATTGTAGGTTGGCTAATACCAAGCATGTCTCCATTTAATATCTGAAAACTACAAGTCGTATAAAACCGTAAACAAATTAGTAATTGAATAACGGGGAGAATGGGTAAACCACGATTGGTAGGTTTTTGCAAGTCTTCAATTTATAAGAGGTAAAATAGTTTCTGTAATTGTAGCCTTGTTAAACCTATATAGGCATAAATCCCCCCTCGCTAAACATTTCTATTGGATTTCCTGCATCCCGTATATATCTTTTTGGAACTCGAAGACGATTTTCTTCTTCTACAAGGTCCAAAATATCCTCAAACTCTTCTAACACATTCAAAACTGTTTAATCAGACAAAACGGATTTGCAAGGTTTATTTTGTTTACTAAAAAAGTTAGGTTAAGAAACTATCCACAGATAACATAAACTATCCAAAATGACAATCTCCAAAATGAAAATCGCAATCTCCAAAATGACGTTTGCTTGTGTATTCTGTGGATTCCGCTCTCGAGAGCCCAAGACCGTCTTGGCGTCTCGAGATGCAACTATAAATACGGGCCTACTTGGCAAGTGTCGAGTGTCCAAAGCATTTATTTTATATTTCTCTATGGTCCAAAGTCAGTTAGTTATTCTATGGTCTAAATCGTTACGAAATTCAAATATCCGATCCACAGATCCGATCCTGCGATCTCATCCGGCCTCTCACCAGTCTCACCCAGGGGGGTGACAGTGAAATAGGAAAATTGGAAACAGTCATTAGTGTCATTTCTGTCATCTCCTGACGACAAGTATGGCCGCCTAGACAAGGACAACAATGTTTCTGTCTAACTATTGTCTAACTTCACAGTTTAGAATTGACAGATTTGTTCTAGAACAAATCGAACAAATTTCGACGCCATTTTAATTCTCTCCGTTTAGTTTTGTTTTGTAAATTCAATTTGATATTTCGCCGGAAATTTATAAATATAAAGGTAATAAAGCATATAAAATATATATTACATGAAAAATCCTGGAGAAAAAGACGTTTCTGCAGTACTAGGTATGTCCCATGTATATTTAAAATAGGTAGTAAATAAACACTATTTCCATGTTTTTTAGATGCAAGAAAATTTTGTTATATGTTTATGATTGGCGATTTTATTGAAAATGGAAACAATTTACAGCAAGGTAAGATCATTTTTAACTATAGCCTATATTAGTTATCTCCAGTATGTGCGATTTATTGTCAATAATACAATAAATCTGTCTGATACAATCTGATTGTTATCCGATTAAAAGTCTCTTTTTACTTCTTTTGGATTCATAAACCAGGTCTCTTTGGGAATAATGGAGCTTTTTTAATTAGTATATTTATATTTTATACCTATATTGATATTTTTTCATTGTTAATTTTAGTATAAAAAATGTGTTTTTCTGTTTTCAGGTTTGGTTTGTTATGGTATAAGGCTCCCGTTTTCATGTTCCTGCCCCCGTTTTCTGTTTCTGAAGGCTGTGAATACGTGTATTTATTTACAAATTACTGTAAGTCATGCTTATACCTTACTAATTTACGTTAAAACTGCATATAATTAAGTAATTGATATAGAAATCATTCAATTCTTTATTTTTTTATATTTATTTAGTCACGTTGTCTCACATTTCAAATAAATATGTTTGAATAAATTTTTATTTTGTTTTATTTATGATAAGAAAAAGTACAAAATACATTTAAACTGGAAGAGGTGCCCGCCATTGAATAACCGGAAACGGAAATAAAAATAAAGCCTCAACTTGTCAATTGAAAATTAGTTCTCCAGACGACAACGAAGGCTTTCGGTGGCGTATCGTGTTTCCACGATTTAACACAGAGTTGACACTTCTTTCTAGTTAATTATTTTATGGTCTCACCACGGCCACCACGCTCTCTTGCCATGGAACATCAGCACGATGAACAGCACCTGGTCTATCAATCTCTGGTCCATCCAGGTATTTTGTATTTAAAAAAAAAGGTTAAAGTTGTAAGTACATTTGTACAAATATAGGAAGAGGGGCAATGGTGTGGATCCAGTGGCTGACCTTGAAACGAGTTTTTGCTGCATATATTCACAGACACTACGCATGTGCACATCTTCGATGTTGCCAGATTGCAAGTTATTTTTGAATTATTTTCAGTAGAAAACAAATATGTGCTTTTCAGTGTTTTTTTGTCAACATATACCCTATGATCGAAAAAACGGCGTCCAGTTGGCTGGGAAATGACGATTAAGAACATTTCCCATATAAAATGACAACGATCTTCATTTCATAGTCATCGCTGACGCTATTTTTTTTTAATCATAGTACGCGGTATATTATTTATATTATTTTAATATTTCGCACAACACGTGAACGCTTATTATGTATTTTCATAGTCAATAAAATTAAATAGATATAAAACTCTAGATTCTCATAATAAATCTAATTGCTCTAGATTATTATGCTACGTTAAAAAGTGTTTTATTAAAAATTCGGGAAATTAAAAGGACGTGTCCAGGTTTTTTCTTTTTTCTTTTAATTTTTATATGCTGGTAGCTCCATGTCATCTTCATAATAAGTTTTTTTAACATTCCATCAAAACTACGGAGGCCTTAAAAGGCCTTTTAGCCTCCGTAATTAAAACTGTAGAATCAGTTTCAGCAACATTAACAGTTACCTTGTTTAATTCTGCTTATACATATATTGCATTAATTTTTCTGCTACCTTAAGATTTCTCTACTCTTACCTTACACCTAATTTATGTGATTTTCTTAGCATATATGATTTATAAACCATATTTTTCCTAATGGAAGTATATGGAATAGGATATGCAAAATTAAGATATTTTAACATTTATTTTCCAGACAAAAGCATAATATAGTATTAAGATTAAGACAACAAATATTATAAGAAAGATCTTAATATAAATCACAAACTAACTAAGTCTTAATTTGGTCTTGTAAAAACATAGGTATAAAACTAATAAGATCAAAACTCAACCTTCACCATATTGTCAAGATTTGGCATTATAGGAAACAAGTAATTACAGTAAAATAAAAAAAGAATATCAAGGTACACGATATTAAATACTGTAATGTATTCTACGACACAAACCATCTCCCTTCTAAAGAGAAAAAGATATAACATAAAGCTTATTCAGCTTATTTTAGTCTTATAACCACACTCTTCGATAAAATATATGTCTAAAATTGCTATTAATCCACTAACTTGATATTTTTAAGAAATTATGATACAAACATTATAATCAAAGTCTATTATATTAGTAACATTATAGGTAAAATGTTACCTCTATCTCATTGACGTGTATATTGTTCTATAAGACTCGTCATGGTAGTACTTCAATACATCAATACATGTAATCAAAACTATTGTTGCCTGTAAGTAACTTGAAAGAAATAAAATAATTCTAATAAGTTTAAAACCATTAAGAAAAAATCCGTAAATGTAAATATATATAATAAATGTTATCATTAGTACAATTTTATATATTCATTATACTTTCATTTCACAATCTTCATTATACTTCTTACCTTAATTTTGGATATCAAGATAAATCTGAAATTATGAAATTAATTATAGAATTTGTATTATTATTGATTAACACTCAAAAAGAAATTTTTCAACTGCAAATAATTCGAAAATAAACTGCTATTTGGCAACATCGACGATGTGCGCTTGCGTAGTATCGATGATCAAATGCAGCAAATATGGACTTCAAGGTCAGCCGCCGGATCCACACCTTTACCGGAAGAGGCTTGGGGATAGCACCGGTCACGTGTTATTTTTGCTTTTTTCGGGTTCTTGTTATTACCGATTCTCTCTCTCTCTCTCGTCTGGTTTTGGCTCTGCTACTAGGCAATTGCCAGCTCAATTTCATGATGACCTCAATGTTGTCTGGCTGTACACCATATTGGGGCCATCTACCATTCCACAATAATGAAAACAAAAAAAAAGGTCCTTATATGATCATTTCGAAAGCTTCTCCCACGCTGGTAGCATCCGGCTACATAGGGCCTGGTTACCCCCGTGACAACGTGAAAAAAGAGTTGTCCTTTAATAAATTTTCTCATGGCACTTCAAAGTAGGCGAACTTGTATAAAAATGTTCATTGCACTTATAGTAGGCGAACTTTAAAAATGTTTCACAAAAATATGTATCTGAATGGGACACGAATCCACTTTAAAACTTTTATACCAAAAAATATTAAGCTTTTACAAAACGATTACAGTAGAAAACTTACTTAAAGAAGGTAATGGTGTGGATCCGGTGGCTGACCTTGAAACGAGTTTCTGCTGCTTATAGTCACAGATACTACGCATGCGCACATCGTCGATGTTGCCAGATTGCAGATTATTTTGGAATTATTTTCAGAAGAAAACAAATATTGTATTTTTCAGCGTTTTTTTGTCAATGTATACCGTATGATCGAAAAAAAAACACCATCCAGTTGGCTGCGAAATGAGGATCGATGACATTTTCCATATAAAATGACAGCGATCTTCATTTCATATTCATCGCTGACGCCACTTTTTTCGATCATACGATATTATTTTGGTATTATTTTAATATTCACACAATACGTGAACGCTTATTATGTATTTTCATAGTCAATAAAATTAAATAGAAATAAAACTCTAATCTAATTGCTCTAGATTTATTATACTACGTTTAAAAAGTGCTTTATTAAAAATTCGCAAAATTAAGGGATGTGTCCAGGTTTCTTCTTTTTTTGAATTTTTAAATGCTGTAGCACCATATCATGTTCATAATAGATTTTATAACATTCCATTAAAACTACGTAGGCGTTAAAAAGGTCTCAGTAATTATAACTGTAGAGTGAGCAGTATTAATAGGTACCTTATTTTGTATCTGCTTATATTGCATTAATTTTTCTGTGACAAGATTTTTCTATCTTACACCTAATTTATGTGATTTTCTTATTAGCATATAATATGATTTATAAACAATATTTTCCTAATGGAAAGGATTTGCAGGTATTAAGATATCTTATAATTTATTCTCCACACCACAAAGTATATGTAGTAGAGGTATTAAGACATAAAAAAATTATAAGAAAT